TCCATCCATCCATCTAGTCATCACCAATCTACCCACTCTTTCTATATCCCTCTCACTTCCTGACTGCCATGGGTTGAACAGCTTTGCCCTCCATGTTGTTTTCCCTCCCTATATCTTAGAAACAAAAGAGCTAGCTGAACAAATCTGTGAGTCATAATAAATCATTCTTCACTGTAAATTGTTTTCTCTTTGCTGTATTTTGTGCCAGCAGAGAAAGACTGACCAACAGTCAGCATAACCAAGTTCCCTTTGAAGTTTCTAGAAAAAGATCCTTCCTTGCCTTTTCAAGGTGAGGATACTGCTTAGCATCCTTAGGTTTGTAGCATCATCACTTCAAGCTCTGTCTTCATTGTCATATGACCTTCCTTCCTGTGTCTCTGTCATCACAGATTTCTTGCAAAGATACCAGTCACTGGTTATGGCTTATTTTCATCCAGTAGGAATTTATTTCCCTTACCTTATTATATATGCAAAGACTATTTCCAAATAAAGTCACATTCTCAAGTGCTAGGTGAACTTGAATCTTGTGGGGTAGGGATTAATATTCAATCCAATTAAGGCAAGTGAAATGCAACCAAGAAAAGCCAAACTTTGCACTCATCTAAACATCTCCAGCCACATTGATGTTGAGTTCCCTCTGTAGACTCTTCCAGCCAGCAGACCCCAGTGTCTTCATCTCTATGCTTTCTCACACCTGCAATAAAAACAACTTCTCTTCCAGACTATCAGGTCTTACATGAAATGAATTGTCACTGAAACCTACTGGATGGTGCACATTAACCCACACCACCATCAAAGCTAGAGTAGCTGAATGGTTAGATAATCTGGAATCTAAGGCAGTCTTCCAGGCAAAGCCTCCCTTAGTCCCAGCCTTGGTCTCGCTGCTGCATTGTGTATGGTGACTCAAGTAGCTCTTTGTTAAAACAGAAATGTAGCAAGCAGCCCACACAAGCAATGGGACTGCGGCTGAGTGTTGGAAGCAGGCATATTTTGGGTGGTGCTCTGGAGGAGTTATGAATGGATTGTGCTCCCCACCCCTACTTGCAGCTGTTAGTCGTGCTAACACTTTCTTCCTGGGATGAAACATGTTGGTTTTGCTGACAACATCTGTGTACAGAATGTGCCAGTTTTGGAGTATGTGGAATAGTAGTGTCAGTATGGGGCCCCCAGATTGGTAAACTGGCCTGCAAGTCTGAAAGTTAGGATGATTTGAGGAATACGTGTGTGTGTGTGTGTGTGTGTGTGTGTGTGTGTGTGTGTGTGTGTTTGTGTGTGTATGTGTTCACATATTCATGTGCATTGGGGTGGGGGGGGTGAGAACAATTCTCAACCTCCAGGGACAATGTACTGTGAGATACGTAATTTACAGCTTGCTCCATTGTTATTGGAGAAATGACACACTGCCTCAGTGGTTGATTACAAGTCACTCTAGTTCCATGCCTTTTGTAATAACACTTCATTTTGGCCTGACCTTGATTCCTTAATTCACTCTCAGCTTTTAGGTATACACGCCTTTTTAGACATGTCAGATTCTTCAGAAGGCCTCTAAGCATCCCATAATGTGTAAGTGCGTAGAAGAAATAGGAAACTGGAAATAGCCAGTGGAAACAGCATTTATTTCATGCAGTGATATTTTAAGTATAATATGCTAAAGGACCATGCTCCATGTGAGAACGCTCTGATGGATATATGGATATGATGGGTTCTCTTCTCCATCTCTGACTGACCCTGTAAAAACAGTTTTCCAAGTGGTCTGATCATTCAAAGCTAGGAAATGATCCCCAAAGTCGCTTTGCTTGTTTTAGGAGTTTCAATCCCTTTAGGCGTGTTATGTTTCTTTAATGGGGTATCACTGGAAATAGTACATTTCTAGATGAGGAGAGAGAGAGAGAGAGAGAGAGAGAGAGAGAGAGAGAGACAAGGTTTGCTAGAGTGAAGTTTCTCTGCTTTGGACATTATATTGTGTAGTTAGTAAGGATAAGCTGCCATCTAGCCAACATGAGGAAAAGACACTAAAACCAGAGGTCCGACACTGATAGATGGGATCATGAATCAATATCACGGACTTAGATGGGATAATAAAATAAACATCTCAGTATCTCAAAAGCAGATACTCCCAGTAGTAGGGTATACTGCCTATGGGAGACCGAAGAACAGTCGCTCTCAACTGGTGGGTCATGACCCCACAGGGGCTGCATATCAGGTATCGTGTCTGTCAGCTATTTGCATTAAGAATCATAACAGTAACACAATTTTAAAGTGGCAACAAAAATAATTTTATGGTTGGGGGTCATTGCAACATGAACAACTGTATTAAAGGGTCATAGCATTAGGAAGGTTGAGAACCATTGCCCAGGAAGCTTGATTGACATTGGAGGGGCAATATGGGCTTAGGATTAGGATTAGGGTTAGGGTTATGAGCCAAAGACCCTTCCATTACACTCTTCCTCTGACATTTGCTAGCTGTACACCCTTGAGGGAAGTCCCTTAATTTCTCTGAGGTCACATGTCCTACCACTGATCAGGAACACACAGAATAAAAGAAAGCATGTCAGTAAAATACCTGATATATGAAAGGCCCTCAACAAATGAGTGACATTATTCCCAACAGGAAAGACTAAAACAGCAATGACAATAAATCCCAATGTTTATTACATACCAGACAAGCATGACTAAGAGTTAATGTCACAACGTACTTGTATGCAGTCTTGATAGAAATGTCACATTCCTAAAGAGCAGGGAAATTTTCTGAAGTGTTACTGGGGAACTACTCCCCATATATGGAATATAACATATTTGTGTATATAGTAAGGGAAAACCTATGTATATAAATGAGTAAGACCTAATTTTAGGTCATAAAAATGCTTACCAGCAAAAGTGCCATGAATAACTGCAAGGCATGAATAGTTGGTAGAGTTGATTTCAGAGCTGATTTTTACTTGTTCAAAGGCTACCTTTTGCACTGTGATTTTGTTGTTGTTATCTAGATAACGAGTAGACCCAGAGCACAAGAAGACATGGGGGCTGGAGAGATAGCTCACTAGTTAAGGGTGCTTGTTATTCTTTCAGAGGATGACAGTTTATTGCCCAGCACCCACCATGGGAGATTCACAACCATCTGTAATTCCAGCTCCAGGAGGTCTGATTCTGGTGTCTGTGGGCACCCGTAGATATATGTACCTGCACACATACACATACATAAATAATAAAAAAATCTTTTTTTCTAAAGATGTGGAAATGCATTTTGGTAACAAAAATGCTAAAATGACATTTTATATTATGCTTTAAATTTAAATACATGATCTTATTTTCTGGATTATGTTATATATAATAATAATAATATATCAACATACACATTTGATGTTTTTGATTACAAGTTACATGGTCATTATAGAGTCAGGCTAAAAATGAAACAAGAAATGAATCTTAGTCCACAATACAGGGATAATTTACCTCTTTCATGTAGTTTTACATGCACATACTACAAACATAACTTTTTAATAATTTTTTTAAATAAAGTGTTTATTTTTCATAGTTTAAAGTTCTTTTTGCTATTTAACCAGTTGGTATATTTAGAACCCCCACCCCTTAGATGCCGTTCATTGACTGTGGATATTCTGCATTCTTCCACTGGGTCTCCTGACTTTCCCCTACAGTTAACCATAGATACCATGTTACCAGGGCAATCCTCCAACACAGCTTTTTGTCTGTCCTCTGACAGTACCTTCAGGATAAATCCTTGGAAGTAAAAATTGTTGTCAGAAGTACAGTGTTTTAGCGCTTTCCAAATGTGTATTATTAAAGTGCGACACCGGACCTTGAGGAAATTTATATTCCTGGTGGCAGCATGTAAGAATGCTTACCTCACATTACTCCTCTAACATTTAATGACCACCTCAAAATATTTGCTCATTTCTCATTGTTACACATTGCTTATTTTTGATTTGTCTTTTTTTGATTACTAGTCAGTTTTTGCTTCTTTATGTCTTCATGCTTTGGGCGGATATTGCCTCCTAACAAATTTAAATGTTTTGCCCATATTCCTATCTAGACAGCTCATCTTTTGAATGAGAAATTTCTTATAAACTTTCATGTTGCTGTTTTTACCAATACTTTGCTGCTAATTTAACTGTCGGTGACCCATGTCTTTCAACCAATAGTGGTGACATTGTTCTTCCTTCTACAATTTCACAATTATCATTAAAATAATAATTAAGAAAAATCCATGGTGAGGCAAACTCTGCTTCTGTAAGCATCACCATCTGGAGCCTGGAATGGGGGAGGTAGCCAGGGCTTCCCCTTCCCATGGATAATGGTTCCCAGGGTATTAACAGGAAGTGAGAGTTTGACATGCAGTGCCCTCAGCTAAGAAATTCACGACCACATGAATTCAAGGCCTTTTGTTCTGATTTTGTCTGGCTTAGGGTACAGCTGTGAAATGGATGGCACATATTGCAAGGGAAAGAGTTGGGTCTTTCTCCCAGAGCCCATTGAGAGTGTATTTCATCTTACCTGCCTTTTGTTGTAAGTTCTTCAGGTGCTCTCACAAAACTTGTCTTTGGGTTTATTTTCATCTCCACACACACCCCTGATGGTGAGAAGGAAAACTGCCTATTTCAGATGCTCCATAACTGGTCGTTTAATGACTCTGAAAAGGTGGTCTCCATGCAAGGTGTGGTATAGATCGTGCATATTTGTATAACTTCTTTGGCACCAGTATCTTAGGAGGATACTTTGATGTGAACAGATTCTCTCCAGTGACAAAAAAAAAACAAAAAACAAAAAACAAAAAACAAACTTGAGTTTTTCTTTCTCTTGTTTCATAGCCCTTGTCTAGCAGACACTGTCAAAAGTCACAGTTTCCTTTGGTAAAAGAATACTGCTTTCCAAAATCCTCTGGCAGAATCTCCTAGAAATTTGTTTTTCTCCTCCTTCCTAATTTAGAAACAATCTTCAAAGGAGAAGAAGAAAAAACCTGACAAACTGAAGTGAGAGGAGAGTAACAATGAGTGAATTTTTTATTTCTTTCATGGTAAGGTCATAGATCATCATCTACAATCAATAAAGTTAGACGAGGTAAAATTTTTTGGGGGAGGGAGCAATACAAATGTGTATACCACAATACTAGGTTATTTTTTTTTATTTTAGTCAAGAAGAAACATGTGATATAAATTCAAGATTTTATTAAAATCTTTTGAGTTAAATGAACATAATAGCTTGGCGGTGAAGGAAGATTTTTTTTTTAATAAGGCACAATAATGAGTTATGTGAATAAACAGAAAGAATGAAAAGCATTAAAAGTGTTAACTGTGACATTTAAGTGGTTACATGATTTTAATTATTCTTTTGATAATAAGCAGCCTTGTGACGTTTATTCAAGGAACTGAAACCTGTGCCTACCATGGAATTTGCAGGAGAATGAGAGCTTTGTTTCCTGCCTTTGGCAATTTTAAGGAAACAAATGGGAATGGATTTAAGACTTTATAAAAATGTACCACCTCCCACAAGAATTTCAAAAGTGCAAAGGTGAGGTTGCACTCTAGCATTGGGAGGAAAGACGGAAAAGAATCTTTCTTTCTTTTTCTCTCTTTCTCTCTTTCTCTCTTTCTTTCTTTCTTTCTTTCTTTCTTTCTTTCTTTCTTTCTTTCTTTCTTTCCTTCCTTCCTTCCTTCCTTCCTTCATTCCTCCCTCCCTCACTCCCTTCCTTCCTTTTTTTTTTTAAAAGTAGGCACAAACACATTATATTTATTTGAGACAGAGCAAGGAAGGCCAGAAGAGTTAGAGAGGAGGCCAGAGCCCAGAGTGTCTGCTTCTTATTTGTTCTTGGCTGCTAGGGGTTTCCGGCTGATCTTTTTTGATTTGTCGTTATTCTTCTTTGGGGGTTCTGGGTTCGCCTGCATGTGTCTGCCGTAGAGGCTAGAGAGAGATAGAGAGAGAGAGGGTAAAGTTATGAGCTTTGTTTACTAGTCTAAGCTTCTTTAGGAAGAACTTTAAATATTCAATCACCAGATATGTTCAACCAGCTAAAAAATGTTCTGCTGACTCTGTCACATACACTCTAAGAATCTATGATTTTATATATGCATGTACAGACATGCATGTATGTGTATACATCCTGTGCTATGGTTTTCTGTCACAGACAAGGTTGTTGGTATGTCACACTTCCTTGACAGGGTGCATGAAGAGGAAGGGATCTTCAGGACTTCAAACACAGGTCATGTTCACAAAGCCCTTCCAGAGCAGTATTCCAAAGACTGAGAGTGTTTCCATCTACAAGGACAAAGGACTCATTGAACTGGAGAGACAGAGTACCCATTTTGTGAGGAGTGAGTACCAATGCTTGACCTGAATGCCCAGGGGCCGGTTAATGTGACTAAGAGCAATGAATGATGTTGGAGATCTTGCTGGCTGCTCGTGTGTGATTGATAGTGTGGGGATGGCCACCACACATCAGTGCTACGCTAATAAGTACCGCTGATTAAATGTTGACAAAGTGCCCCACAATTACAGTGGATGGCATCCATTGCCAAAAGGATTTAACTGAGCGGTAGATAGTAATTAATCCATAATTTATGAGTAATTCTGATTAAACAAAATTAAAGCCACCCTAAAATAAATAGAGGTCAGCCTTAACTCCCCATGTTAATGTAATTGTGTCTTCCAGTGAGTTCCATGTACCTCACAGTTCTCGGTATCTCTAGAGGAAAGGCCTGGCCTCGGTCATAGTTGCACCTGCTTTTTACTAATGGGTTGAGAGTCAGCCAAGAGACTCACCTCTCCTCCTTAGGAGCCACTGGTTCTAATGTCTACCCAGACTCACATCCACTCTTATAAAGGCTTGTGTGTTCATTTACTTACTGATTTATTTACTATGCACTGTGGAGGATGAGTCCAGGACCACAGGCATGCTAGACAAAGTGCTTTACCACCGAGTTACACCCCTCATCCTTTCTCCCAGTTTTGATACTAATACTATATGGCTACACACAGTGATGAACACAAGCTCTTGATTTGCACCAATACTCTGGCTGGCAAGCTGAGGGGAGGATCCTGTTAATGGAGTTGTCCCCTTGGTAGATGGCAAGCCAGGTGCTAGGGTTTCAGTAGGTAACATTATGTTCTCTCTTCTGTGGGCTCCCAGGTATCAGTTTAGAAGCTGGTTGTTCCAACAGTGGTGATGGAAAGGTCTGCCTTTACAGAGCTCAGAGTTCAGAGTTCACAGCTCGTAGGAGATGGACCTCAGAGCCAGGTGCTGGAGCTGCTCTGCAGGTAAAAGGGACAGCTATTCTCTTGTGTCAAGGAGGCAACATATATCTGTGCAGGCTACAAGGGAGCACGCAGATAGGCTTAAGCTCTGTAGCAATTAGGAGCTTAGAGAGCTTTGTACTAACATAATGGTCAGAGTGGCCTGGACACCTGGGGTCCCATAACCCAGAAAGAACTAATGGTTTTTAATGGTGCACAGAGCTAGTTCGACCTCAGTTCTGTCTCCCAATTCCCATGCTGTCAATATCTCTGCCTATGTATTTCCTCCCCAGAATCTTTCTGAGAGACAATAAACAGAAAGACACTGTACCAAAGCAGGCTAGCCATCTTACTCTTCACCTTAATTTGCACATTTGGAAACATTCCTTTCTACCAAACAGCTCCTGCGATCTCTTTAGCCAAGGCCACATACTCCATGATCAGGGTCCCCAGGCTCCCCTGGAGGCCTCTCATCTTTGAGGTCCTCTAGCATGGCACAGAGCCATTCACAAAGATACCCAGATCTCTGGATCATCTGTTACACTGCTCTCTTATTAGCCCCCCCCCCCCATTTACAGCCTCTTATCCCCACAAAGGAAAAAGAAATACACATGCTCAAACTCAGACAACATCAGACTTAATAGATTAGAAAAACCAACAGAAACAATACGGTTCATCTACGTGTGTTCTGGTGTGAATGTGAAATGCCCTCACAGGCTGCACTAGACAATGGCACAGGTATTTTTTTTTTGGGGGGGGGGTGCACGTCTACAGAACTATTGAGACATGGGATTTAGCTGGAAGATGTAGGCCATTGGGGGAAAGTCTTTAGAATTATACCCTGGGGTTAGCTTTCCTTCCTTATCATCAAAGGGTGATCCACGCCATGCCACAAACTTTCGATGCCATGCCTATATCATGTTGGGTTGGTATCCCCTGAAATCAAGAGACAAAATAAATCCTTCCTCCTTTGAATTGTGTTTGTCATAGCAACAAGAAAAGATAATGAATGTAACATGGAAACTCAAAATCCACTTCAGTATTAACAAAGGCATATCCACAACAAGAGGTGATGGGGGGTTAAGAGAGCTCAAGTCTGACAAGGGACTAGACTGGCATGGCCTGAATGAAGTGAACAACATGGGCAAGCAGGACGTTCCCTAGAGGGGTGGGATCCATAAAAGCAGCCTGAAGGAGATACAAAAGCCATGTGGCACTCAGCAAGACTCTCCTTCCTTTACAGAAAGAGCAGGAATGTTCCAGTACTTTAATTGCTGCCTTTTATACTCGGATTGCACTGTGTGTGCCCAGACTTCCCAGGGCTTCATAGCAACTCACCACAAAGGGCTCGGCATACACTGCAGATGTTTCAAAATGAGTTTTGACCCTTAATCAGTGCTGATTCTGAGCCAATGATCAGCAGCTTTCACATATACCCACCCTTTGCCATGCCTCAGTTTCTTCCCCTGTAAGTGACTCTCCTTACAGGGTAGTTGTAGGCTGGGCACCATGGAAAATCTATTGGAAGTAGGCAGAAAACACTTGTGAAAACTAGGGCTTATGATGTGGAGTTCTTCTCAGAGTGATTAAATAGAGATAATCACATGATTACCTTATTTCATTAGGGTTTTTTGCTGAAAAATAACATGCTATTTTCTATCCATGACAATGCTCTAAACACTGTAGAAGAAGGGTTTTTAATTCTCTTTGAAGAAAGCAGCCATGGCTGAGCTAAATGCATTGCCCCACTTCCTCAGTGAGTCACTGGAGGGCTGGATGATGCCTCTGTCCCCTGTGTGATCCTTTAATTCCTCCAGCTATGTGGGCAGATGAGAGTCAGCTTTTTCCTGAGCACCTATCCCCACTGAGAAATGAGGCTGTGGCAGAGCAGTAATGATACATATATCAGGGTCCAAATTCTTGGGTATCATTCTTGGCTATACTGCTTATTACCCAGGGTGACATACATTTGGTAAGTGTGACAGACAGATAATTGGTCTGCAAAGGTGATGACATCATAATCCTTTTGTTAGATCCTAAAGTTTAGGGTCTTGTAGAATCCAGCCACTTGTTCCACTTCTTCCCTCATTTGCACACAAGCAAACCCTAGCCATCCCTCAGCCCCGGGCACTCTGCCACTTCTAAGATAGCACATTGCCTCTGTGAAGTATCCCATTGCACCCAGGATTGTAGGTTCCTGGAGAAGAGAGCCGGCTGTTGCCTACATCTCTTTATTCTGGACCACATTCAGTGTCAAATGCTACTTGGCCTTGGGAATGCCACTAAGTCACCACAGTCTGATGTTCTCATCTACAAGATGAAGATGAAGATGAAGATGAAATTTCTCTGTAACCTTGGAGGGCTCCAGGAAAGATGGAGCTAGACATGCATAAATGATCCTGTCCATGTTGGCACAATGATAGATGCCCTAATGGACGCCGTCACCTTTAATATCTCATAAAACTCATGACTCAGGTTACCTAGCCCTTCTATTCTCTCTCTCTCTCTCTCTCTCTCTCTCTCTCTCTCTCTCTCTCTCCCTCTCTCTCTCGCTCTCTCTCTCCTGCTGCTGCTACACCAGAAGTGTGACCTGAAACCTATTTAGTGACCATGTGTCCTTTGGTTCCACTTCTTCTTTTTTTTTTTTTTAAATTAGTTCACATTAGGAACAAGCTTGTTTCACATATCAATCCTTTCTCCCTCTCCCTCCCCTCACCCCACCTCTCCTCCTCCACCCCCAACCCACCCACCAACCACATATACCCTCCACTCCCCAGGTAGGGTAGGGCCCTTAATGGAGGCTCCCCAAAGTCCACCACATTATCCTGGGCCGGATCTAGGCCCTTCCCCATGTGTCCAGGTCAAGAGTGCATCCCTTCACATGGGATGGGCTCTCAAAATCCCTTCTTACACCAGGGAAAAATACTAATCCACTACCAGGGGCCCCCTAGAGTACAGAGGCCTCCTCATTGTCATCCATGTTCAGGGATCTGGATCACTCCTGTACTGGCCTCCCAGACAGCAGTCTGGGGCCGATGTGCTCCCCCTTGTTCAGGCCAGCTGTTTCTGTGGGTTTCCCCAGCCGGGTCCTGACCCCTTCGATCTTCATTCCTCCCTCTCTGCAACTAAGTTCCAGAGTTCAGTTCAGTGTATATCTGTGGATGTCTGCCTCTGCTTCCATTCTTGAAAGGCCTCCAGCAGGCATCAATTTCACAGTGTTGACAGAGAATCTGGTTCAAGATTACCGACGAGGTTACAGTAATTAGTGGACAAAGTGCTCAAGCAAGCTGGAAAATGGGGGAGAGGGAGATGTACCTTTTGCAGAGTCCTAGAAAATCTCACTTCTGAAATCTAAGGTTTGTAGAAGATAAATGGGAGAAAGTCAATGAGTTTGGAAAAAAAAATCCATAACAACAAAGGACACTCTAAAGTGACAGGGAAGGGTCCGTTACTCTCAGGAACCTGATGAGCAGGCCTAGAGTAGGCCTAGTCAGTTTCAAAGGTACAATCTGCCTGTGGGTTCTCTCAGAACCACCTTGCTCAGGAAAAAAGGGTCCTGCACTCTCCTCTGTGAAGACCAAAAGTGAAAGGAGTAGGCCGTGCCCGGAGCTACCAGCAGAAGATGCCCTGGGAGGACCTTCCCCAGGTGAGTTAATAGGAAAAGATTCCAT